TATAGCATCAAATGGAGCGTCATAGTCTACAACTAAATTGCAGTATCTGAATTGCTTGTCACTATATATTGTTTTGCAGCATCCTATATAGTATATACTATACCATACTATAATGATCACAGCATATGTACCCATGTTTCCTGTTTGCTAGTTTAACAAAAACAGTAATTAATATTCATGAACCTCATTCAATTAAAAGATGTAACTCTGAAGATGGTTCTGGATTATATGAAAAACTTTAGCAATTAAATGCAGATTACAATAGAAAAAACAAACACAGAACTAAACTCAAAATTCACCAAGTGAATTGAATTTGCATTAAAAAAAACTGTACAAGTAGGGCCCTGTGGTGCTTTTAGGCTCCTACATTCACTTGTAGGTTTGTGTGGCTTGTAGTGAAGCAGCTTATTTAGAGTAATAGTTGCCATCTTGGTTAAAATATGCTACCAGTCTATGCCTCTCTCTTTCTTTCGCTCTCTTTCAAGTCATTTGGCTTTATTTGTTGTTTGCTTGCTTTATCTGTTGATTTACTTACAATTTATGACGTGTTCAACTTTTGGGTTTTAATAAGTTTGCCTCTCATACAAGTTATGTCATTTTACCAAATGAACAAACACAAACACTACATTTCTTTCCTCTATAATGCCACTTTTGATTTAGCTACATGACAAAACTCTTTCAGCATGTAAAAGTTTCATCTTATTTGTTATTTTTAGTTAATTATAATGATCCTGATAGTGACAAGTCTAAACTTTGTTCTTTTTCACTCATTTTTTAGTTTCTAACATTGCAATACAGCAGCTACCCATATTAAATTTTCAGGGTTGAAAAAGACTCATACACCCAAGTTTTGTCTTTATTTAAATTTTGGTCTAGAATAATAATAATAGTAATGTCTGAAAATGTATAATTGTGGAGGTATATAATAACGACACCAGAGGTCTCTGTGTCTCACTCCAACTTTCTTAACTGGTTCTCAGAACTTCACATTTATTGAGCGCCAAAATCTCCACCCCACACTTCCGTTCAACTTGGGTGTGAGTGGAGCCACCTGGTGGTCCGCCACA